GAAATGGGATCTGAGCTTGGCCCGAAGGTCAGCCCGCGTGTACAGAGGCCAGACGAATTCTAAAGTGACCGCCAAACGTCAGGTAGTCACATAAACAAAGCATTGCACGAGTTTTTCGCTTTTTCCTCATCGATGAGTCCATGCACTTAGGAGGTTGGCTCTGTATAACCTGAAACATAGGTATAGAAAGTCCGATTAATCCAATCATGTGAGCTACCTCTAATCCTGACATTACTAGTTAAAAATGCAATAGCAGCAGCAACTGTTGTTTATTACGAAATTTATCATACCGGGTCTTCGTATTTTATCGCTCAGAGGAATCGAAATCATTCAAAGGTACATGGAGATTTGTAGTTTGAGGTGGATGGTATGGACGACGCCTTGTTCTTTGCGCTTTAAAGCATCGCCATGGTACTGCTGCTCCATGATGCCATTCTTTGTGAAGTTGAGTAAGACTGGGCCGACATAGATGTCCGACAGCGAGGTCCGTGCCAGGGCGAGGATGGCCCCAGCCCTACATTTCTTATGTTGACCCCACTAAATCTACGTGGTAAATGTTGGTATTTTATGCAACTTTCTACATACACCAGGAGTGGCAGAGATTTTCAGCTTTGGGACTCAGTAGTTGTGAGAATTTATACCACTGGACTATTGTGGGATGACCAAAACCGATAAAATACCAAGATGCTCAAGTTGATAACGCTTTCCCATTCATAAGACGAGTTGATGGTTGCTTTTAAAATACGATGCGCTGTTCACCTAATTTCTCATTTTAGTAGGCATCCTCGCTTGATAATCTAGCTCTCATGTACGAGAAACTTAGAGCGGTACTCCAAGCACTTCCTAACACGAGGTGACCGAATAGTCGTCCATTGTTAACAGGATTGGTGTTAAATGAAGTATAATATAGGCGACACAATTGTAACTATGTTTTCATCAATCCGCATAGGTTTTAATTTTTATGGTACCCAATCATCAGGGATAGGGGTATAGTATGCCTCTCTCGAAAGTCTAGATTTTAGGCTTGAATTCTGCTACACTGTTCTCTAGAAAACAACTTTAATACAAATCTTTTATTCAAACAGCAAAGCTACTAGAAAGGCCAACTAAACCACCCCTCTCGATACAGTCACTTTAGGTCAGTCGAAATAATTGTAAAGCTCACCTACCGCAAGTAACCGGGGCGGTTGAAGGCCGGCATTTATGGCAGACACTTAACAAAGTATCAAGAGAAATTATTCTTGAATATAAATGAAGATGCTATTCGTCTACTCCATAATGTAAGGAATCATAGATCAGCGCAAATAACTGTCCATTGTATACGAGGTTGGCCACTAACCGC